AATTGACATGTCTGGATGTGTGGGATTCGCTCCAAAAATCTCATATGTTCTTATGGTTAAAGAAACAGGAAGCCGAGATAGCTTAGGATTCATCCACCAAGATTATAAAATTTACTTGCGATCCAAAAGAACAAAATACATAGATGTTGGGGATACTGGAGAAGGGCTAGAATATTTGCAAGGATGTCAAAGTAAAAATCCTAATTTTTCTTATTCGATTCAAGTGGACGAGGATGACTTAATTACAAATATATTTTGGGTTGATGGCAAGATGAAAGCCGACTATGATGATTTTGGTGATGTAGTTAGTTTCGATACTACATATAGAAAAAATAAGGAAAATTGTCCAGTGGCCTTGTTTGTTGGTGTTAATTATCATAAGAAAACAATAGTTTTTGACGTAGCACTTTCATATAATGAGACTATTCCCTCATTTGAGTGGTTGTCTGACACTTTTGCTAGCAAAATGTATAGAAGAAAGCCGATTACAATTTTGAATGATCAAAATCATGCTATAACAAATGCATTAGCTTCAAAGTGGCCCGAGACTCATCACAGGTTACTTATTTCACACATTTGAGTTGTATTTTTTTTCCAACATAAAAGCTTTGGACAAGACTTCAGGAAATGTATATACGACTTTAAGGAAGAAGAGTTTTGGAGGGATGGAAAAAAATGTTAATAATATATGATTTGTTAGAAAATGATTGGTTAAAGGGACTATACGAAATTAAAGAAAAATGAGCATTGGTATATGGTCGACATTTCTTCTGTGCTGATATTATTACGACATAACGTAGTGATAATATCAATAGTGTCATCACAAAGTATCTCAAATATAAGAACAACTTGCGTCAGTTTTTTAAAAGGTTTGAAATTTTTCTTGAAATTTTCCATTATGAAAAATTGAAGGCTGATTTCAAAGCAAGTACCAATTCTCCAGTTCTATGTATGTCAATTCAACTGTTGAAACATACTGCAAGCTTGTATACGCCGGAAGTGTTTAAGATATTTCAAGATGAATTGTTCAAAACTTAAATAGCATACATGATACTGTTACAGAGTATCAGGTTAGTTATCTTGGACGATCATGTTGTTACATACAACTCGTCCGATGAAACTATTTGTTGTGGTTGCAAGAAATTTGAATTTCCCGGGATATTATGCTCTCATGGTCTTAAAATTCTTACAGAAAATAATATTTTAAGTATTTGTGATTGATATATAATGAAAAAGTGAATGAAGGGTGCAAGGGTAGGAGGTTCGCATAGTGGGATGGTTTTCAATGAACACAACATGGATGACCTGAAGAAAGATTTAAGTGTCCGATACAAGGATTCGAGTATGTTCTTCAATAAAATAGTTACACGAGCATCAGAGAATAAATAAACTTATGAGTTTGTTAAATAACATTCATAAAGGCAATTAAAAACTTCAATGAATAGTTATTGAATAATAAAGTTGATAGTGAAAGATTGCATTACGAGGATGTCGAATTGAATGTATACACCCAGTCTGCTTCGAATAAAGAAGTTGATGTCCAAGTGAAAGGGATAAAGAATAAAGCAAGGATCCGTTCCGGTAAAATATTCAAAAGTGTATTGGAAAATAACTTAAGAAGAAAAAAACAATCTATAGTTCACACACACGAGGTGTTAGCGTTAGCTGAGACACAGGTTCTAACTACTTAGGGTGTGTTTGTTTGGGGGTTTGGATTTTGAGTTGGGATTTGAATAGTAAAAAAAAAAATTGAATTTGAATAGTTGTATGATGTGATATAAATAGGTGTTGATGTGATGCTTTGAATGTAAAATTGATTTTTAGTATAATATAAAAAATAAAAAATAGGTGTTTAATTTGATGTTTTTGGAGAAAAAAAATAGAATAAATAGTGTATTTGGGGGAGAATCCCCCAAACAAACACACCCTTATTGATTATTAGATATAGATTTTACTTGTTCAAATGTTATAGGAAGATATTATTTATTATGCAGTCACCAATGAATGAGGCTCATCTTCAACAACATGGCTTTGTGGTGCAACGTGATCAAATCCCTCGACAATAGGTTTATATATATATAATTATTGACACAATGACTATACAAAAATGTACTTGTTTAAGTTTATATGAGATTATATTCATTATGCAGTTAATGATGACGGGGTCTTATCTTCAACCACATAGCTTTATCGTACATCCAGATCAAATCCCTCGATAACAGTTTTTTTAATTCCATTTTAACATTTATTTTACATAGCATTGACTTCAATGCTAAATAATTACCATTTTTTTTATAAAGATTCTAAATGTTCAAAACATGTATAAAAATATTATTTATTATGCGGACATTCACAAATGAAGTTTATCTTCAACCACATGACATTGCGTTACAGTCTGATCAGATCACTCGGCCTTACTTTTTTTTTTTCAATTCAAAATTATATTACACATATCATTGATTTATTAGCATAATGTTATAATTATGTAAAATTTTAAATCATAGATTCAACCACTTAATCTGTCGCCAAATATAGAAACTGAATACCACTATGACCCGACTTATTCTATGAGTTTCACAATTTACTTTAAGAATTTCTCACAAAAAACACACATCTCTATGTTAAATGGATATATTAATTTCATTTTCATAATTTTAATTCAATACTGTATGAATATGGGTCCAATCTACTCGTATTGGTGCTCAAAGAAAAGATCATCATCCGAACATTTAGAGAGTACGTACAAATTAAAATGAATTTCTATGATGAATATATTGGGTAATGAAACCCTTTACACTTTAAGTAGAACTTTTTATTTTGAATATGGCATGATTCATATATGCACTCTTGTTTTCTATTGAATATGTTGAAGTAGTGGTATGATTTGTTGAATATGTTGTGCCATGGTTTGTGTATGCACTCTCATTCTCCTAGTATGGAAATGATTTTATGTAGCTGAAATAGCACATTAAATTATTAATTTTTTTAATTGAGTATTCAATATTTATGAAATTAGTTTCATAATCTTCGTGTGTTGCTCTGATGAAAAGGTACTTCCATTGGAACGAGGGTTCAAGAATCTTTTGGCACACTGTTGCTATTGGAAGGAAGCCCTAACTTGTTTTTTAAGGGTAAGTGACGCTATATTAATGTTAAAAAAAATTGAGAGCAAATTATGTATTTAATTTATATAGACTAGCAAATTTTTTCAAGTGTTGATGCCCACACAATTGAGTATAGTGTTACAGGTAAGATTTTTTTCATGTCTAAACAATGTAGCAACTTACTCCAACATACAACTTAGTCATATGGCTTGTGTGGAGGATTTAAGTAATAAAACCACACAATGAACATTTTAAAGAAAATTGTGGGTTGTATTCAAATTCATGAGCTTGCTTGGTTGAGCTACAAATGAATGGCATGATATTTAATTAGAAATTTTACTATCTATAGAAAAATCTTAAAAACATTCATATAGAAAAATTGTTTTCGTAAAAAAACCACCACCGACAGCTTAATTGGAAAAGCTTGTTGGAATTGATTTAATTGTAGGATTCTCCGGCCTCCTCAAGAAAGGATCTGGGCTATTTCCTGATATCCAAATAATTAACATAGCATGAAGGTAAAAATAAAGATAATAATGCAAAGGAAAGGTTGAAAAAGAAACAAATAGATTAAAGAAGTTGAAATTGATGAAAAAAAAAACTGTAAAAAGTAGGGTTGTTCTTAAAGAAAAAATTACAGAGAAAAAAGTAAAAAAAATTAATAAAAAGACGAAAGATGAATTTGTGTGTTCTGAATCTGGTGTGCTCCCTTTAGAACCTTGTTATGTTTTTAATCTTGTTGGATAAAGTTTTATCCCTAAATTCTCTCCAACAACTTCAACTTTCCTTTAACCACCTTCTGACTGGGTCTTCTTACCTGGGCCGCCTTCAAACCGGATTGGGCCTCAATAGGCAATGGGCAAGCGGATCAACGGGCCAAGGAGCTGCTGGGCCACCGGCCACTTGCTTTGGGTTATTTTACATTAGGTCTTTTCTATTCTTTGGACATTCTCCACAAGTATTTGACCTTCCTTTTACAAAACAACTCCCACATCACCTTCTTAGTCGAGTCCATACCGGGACCTACTCTTATGGGCAACTATAAGGTTGGGCCGAGCTGAGAAGGTAAAAAGATCTGGTCCTTTCTTTGGACCTTCTCCACGAATACTTGACCTTCCTCCGACATAAAAACTCCTCACGTTAATTTTTGATCGAGTCCACACACGAACGTACTCTTATGGGCTGCTGTAAGGCTGCGCCAGGCCACGAAGGTGAAAGGGTCTACTAATTTTGGGTCTTTGGTTACAAGATCTTCGTTGGGCGTTCTGGTGATCTTGGCCCTTTCTTTTTGATGGATTACAAATGCTTCCCACAAAATTATTTGGACAAAAATAACTTTGTAATCCTAATAACTTTGTAGTCCTAATAATTCATAATATGAACCACGTGAATAATTCTTGATTTTACACAAAGCAAATACATGAAATAAAAATTCGTGCAACTGTGTGATCTTCTTCGAAACACACATAAACTTAATAAAAGAATCTTTCGATCACAAACGCTTCTTCATTGTTCTGTTCAAGCTTTGTTCGCAATGGAGTTTTTGTGTTGTTGAATATGAGATCCTGAGAAGAACTGTCCTAAAAAATATCTGAATTTAATAAAATAAATTAGACAAAAAGACAATTCAAACATGACTTAATCTACACAATTAATTCAATATTAAATTCGATAAACGATTGGGATTGGATTCCACCCCAACTTTAAATTATAAATAAAACTTATTTTAGGAAAAAAAAATTAAGATTATAATAATAATCAGATTTGTTCCAACCATTCAACGGTTCAACCGGGTGATACCATAATACAGTAATTATAAATGCTTTACATTTAAAAAAAAAAAAAGAGTATAAAAGGGAATTTCAGCGGTGGCAACGAGCAATATTCGGTTCCCTCTTTTTTTTTTCTGTTATTTCTGCAGAAGAATCAGAAAGAGAAAAAGGAAAAAAAAAAGGCGATTGATTTTATTGCGGGGAGGAGGAGGAGGAAGATTGCAGCCACCATTGCGATGGGCGAGAGCAGTGTTGCAACATCGGAGGACCGCCGACAGGCCACCTCAACCAACAAGGACGCCGTTGGAGCTCCTGCTAATTCGTCGGATCGCCCGATTCGAGTCTACGCCGACGGGATCTACGACCTCTTCCACTTCGGCCATGCGCGCTCACTTGAACAAGCGAAAAAGCTGTACGATATCTGAATGTTTTCTATTGATACTTTCCCCTTCCTCTCCGAATTTTGCCTGGCGATGGAACTTTTTTGGTTATTCTTCATTCTTGTCTTCATTTATGAGAGAATTGTGTGAGACATCGTGTTTTTTAATAGGTTCCTTGAGGTAATATATTGTTTTGGAATTTTAATATGTTGTTTGAGGAATCTCTCTGTTGTACTCTTCTTGTTTGAGGCCGTGCATTTTTAATTATTGATGGATTGGCTTTTAACATATGAATCAAGTGCTTTCCATTCCGGTTTTCAAAATTAATGGACTTAAACTTGTTTCAAATCCTTTGCCTTCATTACTATTGAGAAAGTGAACATACGCTGTTTATCTATGTAGGTTTCCTAACGCATATTTGCTGGTAGGCTGCTGCAATGATGAGGTTACACACAAGTTCAAAGGCAAGACAGTTATGAATGCTGCAGAACGATATGAATCTCTTCGCCATTGCAAGTTCGGTTTTTTCACTATGCCTTTGTCTGATTCTTGGCAATGCGTATATTTAAGTTCTTACACATTACTGATTTCATCATAGTAGGATGGATTGGATAAAAATTTGTTGCTTGTAATCAATAATGTTAATCTATTTTTTCACTAGACAAATTCAATGGAGCATGAGTGGCAGAATAAAAGGTTGTTAGTGCAGCGAAGTTGTAGTAATTCTAATATTATTGTATTTTGAAGCTAATGCTTGTTCCTTTTCAAACCTTTACATGCATATGATACATACATACATATATATATATATATATCTTAAACAGTTTGAATATCTTTGGGCTTTCTCTGTTGCAGGTGGGTAGATGAGGTCATTCCTGATGCGCCATGGGTAGTGACACAAGAGTTTCTGGACAAGCACAGAATAGACTATGTGGCTCATGATTCTCTTCCGTGAGATGTTTATTTATTTACTCATCTACTTGTTTTCTGGGGAAGCTATCCTCTGATGAACTTCACATGGAAAGTGGGAAATTGAGGGTCATGGGAAGCTTAGAAAAACAGGACTTTCTTCTGATCCAGTTATTTTTGTATGAAGATGATGGAAAGATCAGTGAAATACGAATAAAATTGATTCAAATTAGCAATTTCCTAGATATGCTCTTATGGAAGATCTATTAGACAATTTCTTCTCCTTAAATTGATTCAAATTAGCAAATTCTTCTTCCATTGAATTTGTCTAGCAATTGCCAACTCTAGTTTTCTTAATCTTGCCTTTTTACTCAATACTTATTGTTTACTGCAAAAGTAAACCTTTAATATGGGAAGTTACAAACTAATCTTACTTTTGCAAGTAAATGTATGAATAAATTCATGCAACCAATATTGAGTACTTTGAGATGCAAACAACCTTTTCTTTTGTTCTTTTTTTTTTGGTTGTTGTTTGCAGCCAGAGAAAGTAGTTTCGATGGATTTTGCATCTAGCTTATTTACCTCCCTCACATGCTGTAAACTTTCAATTGCAGTTATGCCGATGCAAGTGGAGCTGCAAATGATGTTTATGAATTTGTAAGCTTGGGATTCAAGTTCAGAACTTCAGTTTTCACTAATTTCCCTTTTATATTTTTGTTGAAGATCTTTAACCTCACATTTCTTCAACACCTGATTATATTCCCCACATTTGATATATAGGTAAAAGCCGTGGGAAGATTTAAAGAGACTAAGAGGACTGATGGAATTTCAACATCTGACATAATTATGAGGATAGTGAAGGATTATAACCAATATGTTATGCGCAATTTGGATCGTGGATATTCCAGAAAGGAGCTTAATCTTAGCTATGTTAAAGTACAATTTCCTAAACATTGTGGCATCATCCATTGACCTTCTAGTAATAGCATGCTTGACATTCCAATATTTTTTGTTTCACATATTACAGGAGAAACGACTAAGGGTAAACATGCGACTGAAGAAGTTGCAGGAGAAAGTCAAGGAGCAGCAAGAAAAGGTAGAGGAAAAGGTATGTCTTTATGTCATGGAAATGTTCGGCTTATCATGATTCATTACAAAATCTAGGTAGAGCAAACCCAAAATTTTCAACCACAATATTTATAGGTATTTCATATGCAAAGAAGAAAAGATATACAAACTAGCATAGCTGGGAGTGTTGCAATAATATCCATATGATTTATCCTTTTATTTCTATTCTTACATATTCCTTTTCACAGCTTGTACAATGTTAAAATTTCTATCGGACCCTTTGTTTATTCCTTTGAATTCATGCTTGTTTATAGTTTTAGTTCCAAGATTTATCACTTCTTTTTGATATCACAACCTACATTGAAATTTTTGCACATGTCTTGATGTCATTTATTAATAGAAATTGCATTCATTGTCCCTTTTCATTAGTCTTGATTCTGAATTGTATTCCCTTTTTCTGATTTGTCATTAAGCTGAATAACTGATCATATAGTATATTGTATACATTTGTAAATAAATCACCCATTAATTTTCTTCTATAATGTTTTGCTGCACTCTTCAATCCTTGGAACTTCATCTTACAGATACAAACTGTTGCAAGAACGGCCAGCATTCAACGTAATGTTTGGGTAGAAAATGCCGATCGATGGGTTGCTGGATTTCTCGAGATGTTTGAGGAAGGTTGTCATAAAATGGTGAGCAACTCTCTCGTTATTATAATTCCCATGGCTTTCTTGAACCTCTACATTTATTTTAACCATCGTAATACTAGGCTTAAGAAATCCCTTAGTTATGGAGTAGGACTATCAATTTATTAGCAAGAGTCTCGAGGGACTTTAATCTTATTATGTATCCCTATCATCAATGAGATAATAATCACCTAGGACCATGTGTTTCGAAGCATTTTGAAGTGGTGTTTCGAACTTGAAACTTTTAAAAAATATTTACATATATATTGAATATAATGTTTTAAATAAAAAAATAAATATTAAATATGATATAATGAGCGGGAGTATAGACGGGAATGAAATATATACATATGTTAGAAGTTGCATAGTATCAAAATAATTGTGAAAATGCAAACAAATACACCTAAATATGTTGATGATATATGCTAAGTTGAGCCAACTCTTTTGGTACAGATGAAAATATCAATATTTCTTTTGTTGTTTGAATTAGAGAAATCAAATTTGAGAATTTAATAATTTATCTTTATTTGTTTCTATTTCTGCCCATATTCATAGAAATAGGGAGGAATGAATAATAAGAAATGGTTGTGCATTTATTTATTATTTAATTTTTATAATTTTTTAAATTACACTATTCTTATATTACAAAAAATCATATTTAATTTATCATTTAAATATTTAATTCTTATGTTTTTTTAAATTATGCTAATTTAGTGTTAGAAAATATTGTATTTAATTTATTATGAAAAAAAAAATATCGCCAACAATATATTTTCACAGATTTGCACTCACTAAATTCCCCTCTTACTTATTCATCATTTTCTCTTGATTGATATATTCAAGTCTGCTATATTTTTTACATTTCTCAAACGGAATTATATGTTTTACCAAAAGAAAATTTCATTTTCTATTAAATTATTTTTTTACTGCAATTCTACTGTCTACCGTTGTTTTATTTATTTATTTTTTTTGAAAAATTTCATTCTCTATACTAAACTTACCTTTGCTCACGGAACTTCTATTTCTTAGGGAACGGCCATTAGGGATCGAATTCAAGAGAGCTTTCGAGGACGTCATGCTTCGGAAGATGAAGATGAGAGTAGTGATAATGAGGAAGATGATGATGACGATGGGGAGGACGATGAGGAAGAGGACGAGGATGAGGATGAGGAACACTTTTACGACACGGATGGAGAATATTATGATAGCGGCGACAAATCTCACTGACTGCTTCATTTCTTACCGTCAACTTGATTCAAATATTTGAAGTAAGTAGTTCCATAGAGTGTAAATTCCCCATAGTATCATTTGCCTTTAGATGCTTTCTAGTTTCTACTTTGGTTGTTCAGTGTCTTCTTTTGATTTATTTTTTTTTTTTCCTCAGTAGCTATTGTTTTTTGGCTATCATATTGCATTGATGAATAGGTTAGTTTATGGTAGTTATTGTTATTCATGCTTAACACTAATATATTCTACATAAAATTAGTTTATTAATTGATTAAGTACACATTTAATTCAACTTTTATTAGGCAGTCCGCCAAAATTATATTGGTATTCATTTTTTTTTATTCTACCTTAAATTTATGTATATTCTACTTATAATAAAAACACATTATCAACATTTTTTCTTTTATTATTTCTATCTTAATAAGTAATAGTAATTTTGCTACAATATTTTTATCAACTCATTAATAAATTAATAGTATCATTTTACTTTTTACCAATATCACTCTAATACTATAAAATTTTTATATTACTATATCTTAGTCTTATGTGTTCAACCAAAATTACATATCACAATCTAATATTATAACATTATTATTTTTTTTACTCTTTTATGTGTCCAAACAAAGTTATATAATTTTTCTGGACATATATCATTATTTCTTAGTCTTCTGTTTCCAATAAAATTATATATATTATAAGAAAATAATATTTTTGTAATGAAATTATTTCGTCTTTAAATCTACTTTTTTTGTTACTAATGACCCTAGGGACGGTATTAGGGATAAAATTTATTAAACTCCGTCCTTAGAGTTTTTGTAACTAACGTCATTCATCCCTAATTTCTATTACAAATATGTTAAGTTTTTGTAGTAATAATTTCACAGGACTAGGGAGAGTATTTTAAACTCCAAATCTATTCTTATATCCCAGGCAAATAACAAGTTAAGTGTTCGAGAATGACAAAAGGAGGTGGACCTGTAACATTCATACATTCTTTTACTCTTAAGGTATATTTGGTTCAATCGAGCAGAAAAATCTTATTGAAGGAAAAGAAAGGAGATGGGAGAGTCATTACCAAAAAAAAAATAGACTTTTTGTAGCGGTCAAAATTTCGTATCAACAACCCATTTTTCGTGCAAGTCTTTTGTGTCAACTCTGTTACGGATTTTGATCACTTCGAAAAGTTGAGGTACAAAAAGTCTTTGTTGCGAAAAATTCCATAACAAATAACTGATGATCAACCCTTAAAATAAGCACATCTTAATTATATTTGCTACGTTTTTTTGTATGTAACAAAAGCACCAATCATGTTTTTGGATCGACATATATCCGTAACAAATAATGCGCAACAAAAGTTGAATCATGTCAGAGAAATATTTGTTATGATGTATGTCCGGAATAAAAAATGCGTTGCAAATATGTACTCTTGTCAAAAGACTTATTGCTACAAACTTTATCCGTAACAAAAATGCATTACAAAAGTAGTGTCATGTAACAAATAAATTTGTAGTTACAAAATATGTCCGAAACAAAAACTCGGTACAAAAGTCAGGCAACCATAAAACACCATTTGCACCAGCCATGTCCATAACTAAAAATACGATAAAAAAAAAGTGTCCCCGTGTGAAATACTAGTTTTGTTACGGATTAATATGTGTGACAAATAATTGAAAGCATTTTCATATCATAATAGTTCCTAAATCCATGTTCATAATACACAACATCATTCCAATGATGTTCATAGTCCTGACAAAAATATAATATTAGGCGTCAATAGTGCTTTACAACATCCCAATAAAACACCAAGCCGTCCGGAAACATAACAACCTGCTTACTAACGATACCCAAATAAACTAAGTAATACATAAATAGATAAATCCAATATCATACGGTAGTACGATGTTAAGAGCAGCTGACAAACACAACTACAAACGACCTAGCTCGTCGAGTCTAGAATCACGGAAGAGGCAATCAAGGGCGGCGAACCAACTGCAATGTGTTTGCAATGACATATAAGCATTTATTACATAAATTAAAGTAATCCAATAACCAAAAAAATAAAATAAATAAATAATTCGTACATCCCTGTAAGTCCACTCGATATTATCTCCGTCGAGTACCTCACAGAGGATCTTCACTCCAACATTAGTTGAGAGGATAAGTGCAATCTCCGAGACCATTACAACTGTAACATATACATTAACAATAATAAATGCTAGTTACGAGGAATGTGCATTTCTATAAACAAAACAGATGAATATAATAAAATATATAAATATGATCAAGCAAATCGTAGGAATTGGAACTTTCAAAACTAAGAAAAAAAAAAGTTACGTTTCAACTACATCTATGGACCCTATCTTAAAAACAAGTATAGCAACGTCTAAACCTGAATAAAGTACTAATAAAGTAGGTTGATCCACAAACATTATGAAAATTCAAAACACAACAAGGAAGTACGAAACAACTCTCCTAACACCGATAACCAAATATTTATAAATCATCACAATAAATGCTGGTCTAGCCTTAAGCAACTAAAAATATACCCCAAGTATCAATCCTTCAGCATAAAAAGAACAGAGACTCTCAAATAGTAACAAATAACCACCAATTAAGCCCTAAAAATAACATTCGACCATACAACTATCTTCAATGCAAATAGACATGCCCTACATCAATATAATCAGAAGTTAGGTATAACAATCTTACACAAGATCCATCCTATGTCCATTTCACGCTCTACAGCTACACAATAAACAACTAATATATCAAGTGAAAACGAACTGGGTGTAGGGAGGCTTAACATCACTCATTCGCCAACCATATGTTTCTCTAGTCCTTGGGAGAGCAAACGAACACATGTTCCAATTTACGCCAGAACATTTCTTACTATCATCAACATGCATTTGTGTTAAGAGCATGCAACAAATTAAAATTTATAATGAACTCAATATGCGGCATTATTGTTGACATCAATCATATTAATAACACAAACTGTCATCGATTCAAGTGAACTAGGTTCCACTATCTTGCCCTTCCTTCCAACCAACCGGATAGTTCCCCTTAAAATAAACATTGCATTCACATCATAATAATAGCGTCGACATTTTCCACCCACATTACAAAGATAATTTACCATACTTACCGGGGCTTGTGGAGATGGTTCAGTGGAGGAATTCATCCACAAAGAAATTTTTGCCTTGTCCATAGCCACTTCGTCCCAAATAGCTTTAATTTCAGACAAGGGTACCTTCATCTCAACAATACCATTGTGAAATTTCTCTACTAGTGATTGCATGGCCTCACTATCGACAAGGCTAGGGAACTGAGTCTTAGGTTTGGCAGAGGTTGCTGCACTATCAACCGATGATCGTCGTTTTCTTTTCCCTACAAGAGCACGTCAGTACAAAGACTCACAGATGGCTGGTGTTCTCTTGTCTGCTAGGATTTTGTTGAGTTCAGAATTGAGATATTTCTGCAAAATGCAATGAGTTTGAATAACAATGTAATTACATCATGCAAGGGATGACAACACAAAAAACTGTGTAATTATTATGAAATAGGCGTTGTTACCAAAATATCATCCGTCATCTCATTGTCGGCTTGTTGTCCCTTAATGTGGGATGCCACCCAAATTTCCAAGCTATCAGGTTCTTTACATTTAGCCTTTATCTACAAGTACATTTACCCTTGTCTTACTAATAGTGCTTATGCAACAAAAAAAATAAAAGCAATGGCATATACAAGCTGCAAGATTGGTAATGTTAAACTGAGGGGTGTATTCAATTGGGATTTTAATGGATTTTTTTGGATTTTAAAAAGTCTATGGATTTATATGAATTTAGAAAATCCACAGAGTCTACGTTGAGTTTAATGAATTTTAGTAATTGATTTAGATGGATTTCTACGGATTTGATTGAATTCTTTATAGATTTATATGAATTTTGTAGGATTGTCAAATAACTTTTTTTTGAATATATATTAATTATATAAATTTATATCAAACAAAAAATTTTATAAATATAATAATAAATCATTAATAAAATAATATTTAATATTAATAAATAATATATAAGTATTAATAATGTAGAAGTATTGTAACATATGTAATACTACTATATTCTAAATTATTAATTTTAATTTTATAATTTTAGTATTATATTATCATTCAATATATCAAATTAGTTTTATATCTCTTTATTAGTTATTATTATTATTTATATAACCTTTTTAAATAAAAAGTAAATACGTATATAAATAAAATAAAAAATATAATTTACGATTTTTGAAAAAATATTAAAATAAATAAATAAATATAAATTATGGTTCAACAAAAAATATATATTTAAATATCTATTTCACCGTTATCGTAATGATAATATAGTGTATTCAATAATTGAAAAGAAAAGACGACAATAATACATACTTATTGTGATAATAATATTTTTTAAAATTATATTTATAATATAAAAATATATATTTAAAAAAAAACAACAACAACAACTAATTTACTTTATTAGTTGTATATTCATGCGAGAACAAATCCGTAGACAAAGCAACACAACATATAGAGGTAGTTGTATCATCATCCTCTACTATTGTTACCCTTCGCGAATGTCATTGCCTAATGTTTCCCGGAGTTTCTCAGCCTCTGCTTGGTGTGTTTCCCCTTCATCATCAAGATTGCAATTAGTTGGAACTTGATCTTCAGTTGAACCAATTGTCTCGTCATCCTCCGATCCGACTGTGACAATCTTCAGTTAGCATTTTAAATAGTCGTAGTTTTCAAAATAGAGAAGAGAAAAAGTGTGCACCTCTTCCTCATCCGTTGCTTGCGATCCCTGAAGAAGACTCCAACGGACTATGGAATGAGTTGTAGCTAATATCGACCTGGCGTCACGCTCTTTTTCCCACTCTTTGGTAATCATGCGTAAACGGTCTAGAAGATGTGATACGTGCGCCCCAGTTCGTGTACTTGTAAGGGAGAAGGTTTAGTTGGAACAACCTTAGCCGATGGTGATGAAGTGGCATAGGCAAGAGCCCTAGTTTCATGGTGCAGTGGTGAGCTAACAAGATCTTGAGAAGCAGTTGTTTTTCCTCGGTTGGATTTCGCCATTTCCTGAAATCAAAGATGGTATATGTATTTTTAAGTAAAGAATGTTCATAGGTGAATATACAATGAGTAAACAGAATGAAAACACACATAAAACATGCAAATAGAGAAACGTCCAATATCGCGACACTGGAGTGGCATTAAACACAATTGACAATTTATTGTATCAATATAACTAAGAAACATGAAGGTATCTGAATATCGGTTTATGACGTTGAGGTATCCTACACCTACTACGTAATTATTGCCTCCCCACTTTATAATGCAACAAAAACTCCAAAAATACGAGAGGGTTCCAAAAAGTCATTTCTACGAAAAGGACCACACTCTATTACAATAAAGCATAGTTAGATTCCTTAGACAAATCCACTTCAACCCTCTATGCTAGGCTAGCGCCTACATTCATATTTGTTTCACCTTCCACTACAAGCCCCTCTTATCCTCCCTCAACCAATAATCAGCCACCCCTTAGATGTGCAACCATCGTCAACGTTAAACCTTGTGCTGAAATTATCATCCGTGGTTGTGTAAACATCATAGATATCTCTCATAGTCATCGGAACAACAATGCTCCAGTTTTCATCTATAGGATCGATGATGTATCAAACCTATCTTGCTTGCGTAGCTAAGATATATGGTTCATCTGTTGGTAGATTTGATTTGTACATCAAGTGTCGGAAGTTAACCATCTTGTACTCATACTCATCATCCTTAACACCCTTCTCTGGGTCCACCCAATCCTATTTTAATAGAAGAAAGCGGATTTCATTACTGTACTCCACTTCTACAATGTAAGTTACTAACCTGTAATATGCGACTGAACCTGCACAAGGATTTAGGTCTCTTGCATATGCGTAGCTCATGGTCTCCGCATTGACCATCACACCAACACATTGAGTTTTTTTTCCTTCATCTCTTGATTTAACTCGAAAGCGGATTCCAGAGATTATGCAAGATGTGAATCTTGTTGCATGTGTGCAAGGTCCTTGTGCTAATGTCTTCATATAGGCAGTGATTATGCCATCGAAATTGTGGGTAGTATCCTCTACCTATACACAATTTAAGTGTGTTTCCATCCACATTAAATGTCTTCAATGCTTATTGTACCCCAAAACGTTTACTTGCGATGTTCATGTATGCACATAAGTTTAAAACCACCCTGGAAATTGTTTGTCGTGGATCTACTACACTTCTCAGGGACTTGCATTGGGTCGCATTCTCTTAATACTTTCAAAATGCACACTACGGAAGAAATAGGAGTCGCCGCAGAGTTTAGACATGGTAACCCATAATAAGCCAATATAGTATTAACTAAAGATACATACCTTCTAAGTGGACCAATACCAGTAAATTCCATATTGCCTCATATGTATTCATGTATTTGTTGCAAAGGGATGAAATCAAGGTTGCACCGGGTCCCAAAAAGACCACGCCCTCTTGTTGATCCAAGATTGTCATTTCTCACTCTTCAATTCTCTTTAGCCTCTAAATCTCCAAGATATCTCGAACAGAATGTCATACACTCTTCCATGAGGTATCATCGCACAATTGAACCCTCCGGGTTTGCACGGTTCCGTACATATCTTTTGAGAGTACCTAAATACCTTTCGATTAGATACATCCACCTATATTGAACATGTTCTCCAAGCATTGCCTCCTCCGGTAGGTGAATAGGAAGATGCACCATAACGTCGAAAAAAAAGGTGGGTTTTTCTAAGTGACATAGCTTCAGAGCAATTCTATCTTGTAGCTTCTCAAGATCACGTAATGTGTTGTTTGTTGAACACTTTAAATTGAAGAAGGCACATAGTTCCATCAACAATACAACAATGTCTTTGGGCAAAGCCTTACAAGAATAGAAAGTATTTGTCACCACAAAGTCATACAACTATAGTATCAATAGTACAAAAAAAATGGGTTAGGAAGTGCACAATATACCGTCGGGCTGCAACACCAAGGATTCGCTGCATGAGAATGTGGCAATCATGGCTCTTCAAACCCCATATTGTTTGTTGTTCAAGTCTGAATCAACGAGATAAATTAGAACTGAAACCATCCGGAGGTCTCAAATTTTTTAAAACTGATAGCAAGGTTTTTTTTTCTTAGAATACGACTTGGTATGCAGCTACCGGTAAATAAACTCTACCATTAGCCTTGGACAGTGGATGCAAGAAATTCCGTATATTCATCAATTGGAAGTCCTTTCTCACACTAAGTTTGTCCTTTGTCTTCCCCTTAGTGCCCAACAAAGTATACAAGAAATTTTCACAAACGTTCTTTTCAATATGCATCAAGTCAAGATTATATCGTATATCATGATCAGCCCAATATGGTAATTTGAAAATATGTTTTTTTTCCTTCCATGTCGATGTTTCTCTTTGGTCACCCCAACATTATTTTTTAGATTGTTATGCCGCGTGTTGTGTAACCAAATCCTCCTTAAGGTAGACAGTAAAAACATCCCTCAACTGATCACGTAACTCAGCAACTGTTATGCATGTGATACGGGCCTCGAAGTTCATTGTTCCATCAAAGGAATGTCGATCACGTCACATCCTATACCCGTCGGGCAGAAAACGCCTATGGCCACAGTAGCAAAATTTGTGCCCATTCTTTAAATAAGTAGAGTGCGTCCGCACACCACAGTTAGGGCATGCATTTCCCCAACATGTTGGCCATCCAGATAACATAGCATAAGCTGGAAAATCACTAATTGTCCATAATAAGGTGGCACGCATTTGGAAATACTCTTCACTTACTACACCAAACATTCTCACACCAATGTCCCATAATTCATTCAATTGAGGCACAAAGGGCTACAGAGACATGTGGATCCGATTGTCTGGCCCTTTAGGATCATCATTTATTGTATAAATAAGGAATGATGGTTTTTTCATGCATAGCCATGGTGGTAGATTATAGATCACGAGCACCACTGGCCATATGCTATAACTAACACTCATGTTACCGAAAGGGTTGAAGCTATCGGATGCCAACCCCAATCATATGTTTCGAATGTCACCGAAAACTAAAGGATTTTGAAGATCGAACCTTTTCCATGCAAAACTATCAGCTAGGTGCCGCAAAACGCCACCATCAACACAAGATTCAGCGTACCACCACATCGATGCTATTGGTTTTTAGGATAAGAACATTCGCTACAATCGGGGAATTAACGGAAAGTACCTCATCTTTGTCACTGACATGGTGGAGGTAGGTACCTTCGACATACCTCCTTTCACAGCATATAACGCAAGCCTGAAGATCTGTATCCTCTCTGGTGAACAACATACAATTGTTCATGCATGCATCTATAGTCTTACAAGTAAACCCCAAATCTTCTATTATTTTGTTAGCCTCGTAGTAGTTCTTCGGCAACACCACATTATCGGGTAGAGCATCCCTTAACAAGGTTAGCAGGAGTTCAAATGATTTATTTGACCATTAACACAAAACCTTCAAATGCATAGGCGTGCAATAAATGATAACCTACCCAATTTCTTACACCCCGGTATTAGGTTGTTTTGCAGATCTTCTAACACTACTGCAGAAGCAGGTCTAGTTCATCTTCCCGTTAAGAAGTCATCACATCGTCAACTAAGTTTCTAGTGGTCGTCTCACCCCCCGTATCCCCATGCCAAGTCCACACCTTGTAAGATGTGTTAAACCCGTTCCTGATATAGTGGAGCAAGATCTCCCTATGACTATAACTTAGACGATTGCCACAAATCTTACAAAGGCAGTGTACAAGTGATCCTAAAGTTTTTCCATTGAAAGCATAGCTTAAGAATTGGATCACTCCGTCTAAGTATTTGTTGGAAGTGTAATTGGTTTCTTTTATCCAAGTCCTATCCATCTAATAAACAATTTTGGAAAGAATTCAATCAACTAGCCACCAACATAGTTAGCGGTAAATGACAACGCATTATGTGCTAGTTATATATATATATATTGCAAATGCTACAATAATTTGACTTATCTGTTTCCACTTTCAACTATTTATGGACATGAAGATTCCTATCCTTTCAAGAAAACTTGCATGTTCCTTAAAAAGTTCATAATGTTCTAGAATAAAACAACCGGTAATGTAATACAATGTATAGTGTGTAATGTAGTAGCAACCAAATAAGAAACATAGCCACGTGGGGATTGGGAACAAAAAATATGTACAAATGCATTATGATGAGAAATACCACTTTGCATTAGACAGCCCCACCAAACCAAAAATTATAGCGGAATCAAGTTTGTTCGATCTCTCCGAAGAGAAAGTTAACTCCAAATCTGTATCTTTTATAAGTCTTAAGCATGGTGTTGTACCGCTATAATACTCAAATTGTTATGAACTTCAATTAACATTTTTAAAGGCCATAAAATAAGAAGAATGAATAACTTAGATAAGTTGTTAACCATAAGCAGACACAGGTAAAATGATGGTCCTCTAGCCGTAAGTGATCTCCAAAGACAATATCAGCCCCTATGCACCTTCACGCTCAAATTGTTCGCCATGCTAGACCATTCCTATTGGAGAATAGAAAATATAGTGCGAATGCATAAGGAAGTAAATATCTACTACTTGCAGAAAACAAAAGCTCAAAAGCATAGGACAAATCAATTTTAAAAAATAAGAGGCAAATGAACTATCAAAACCACCAATACAATGACAACGAAGGTTACAACACATTTTTTCTCTTTCTTATTAAACAACCAGTTAGTGAAATATATTGAACTATCCTATAAAATATATCCATAATTAACATATATATAACAAGAAACACATAGTGGACTCAAAGATGCTATAATTCAATTATAGTCCTATATACTTGCACATTGAAACCAAACATGTTACTTGATCGAGAAAATAAAATTGAGCTAGCATAGGAGAATAAGACCAACATTCTAAACCTCATTCGGCTATTTTTTTCTTTAACTAAAGCATAATGTTTCCCAGTTGCCTATGACATTGTAAACAGATTGTATCGGACATAAGTTATGTTGGCATGTATGTGGCTGTGTATATAACCCTCCACTTGAAATAACACAAATTTACTATCACAAGTTCAAATATTTCAAGCCATTTAGCGTACTTGCTCTCTTAGTTGGTTGGCTCAATCATTCAATTAATTGCAAGTCAGATATAAATTTGAGAAAGTAAATAAATTTTAAACATAGAGTAAGAATAAAAAAATTTACAATGAGTGTGTAGTGTCCTATTAGTAATTTATCTTAGATAACTAAATCACCCCACTGAAATAAGTGAATAAACACTACTCCTAGTATTCCTCATGTACATCTCCGAATTTCCCACCATTAGTCTCAATTCTTCAAAAAGTGATCAATCAAAGAACAACTCTTAATTTGATGCCCAAACCAAATGATAAAATAGAAAAATTTGACCATGAGCCACCATTTCATAGGTTAACATTCTAATACAAAACTATATTAACCAAACATACACCTTCACTTCATAATACTTGACGTTTAATCAACTATGGTTTTTGTTCTTTCCCAAGAACGTAGTAGCTCAGTTTCCTGTTAATTTACCAATCAACAATCTATTCACATAATATATGATTATGTCTGACTTCTTATTATCACAGCTTTACTAAGTCATATTCAAGTTCCAAATACTTCAAAATGAAGCATATATTCTATGTAGTAGGCTAACACACCATTCAACATCTAATTTGATTGATTCAATCACATTTATTAGTAACCAAGTGTAGTTAAATACAAATGCACATCAAGCATGATGAAATCTAAACTTCTTATTTCATGATAATGAACCATAAAATTGCTATTTTAGCTATGTTGGCAACAACTAAACATCCAATATGAAGAATCAAGCTTCGGCAATACTTCAAAGAAAATGCAAAATTACTTTGATACCAGTGTTTGTTTAGAATACAAAATTGAGTATTCACTCTTATGTTGTTCACGGTGTGAACCAATTCAGCTGTGTAAATTCAGAATCTGATATTTCCTGCATTTAGAGGTTGCCCTTTGTTTGGTTGCTTAGGTCCATAAGTCGATTCTAATGGGGGCGTTAATGCATCCAGATGACTAGTGGCATGCCAGTAAAATATGTTAAGATAATGATAAGTACAGACCTGGGCAATAAAGTGCACCAGGGAGGAGAAAAAAGACAACATAAATTCTTGAGTGTAAGAGATCTGTCATTGATGATTCACACACTGCCAATGAAATCTCTCACAATAGTTATTATCATAAGCAAAATGGCATTTAGGCACTCAAATTAGGTTTTGCAGAGTAGATTACGTTCAACAAAATAGTTTAGTTTACTACTTTCATCTTAAAATGCAGTTTCAAAAATGCAAGAGACTAGAATTTAGTGCATTACCAATATAAATAGAAGGGGATAAAAACCTCTAAGAAAACCTAAAGCTCTAATATAATAATAAAACCATTGATGCATTAATTTGGCACTATTTATAAGTAAATCATAGAATATTACATAAACTTCAAATTGTTTAATCTAGAAATGAAATAAGTTCAATCAAAAAAACAAGTTATAAATCTAGGAGACTTCAGAGTTACAAGACTGGAAAGACAAGGCATGTACAAATGGCAAATATTAGGTAATATTTCCACTTCTCGGGAAAATCTAAAGCCCTGATACCACTTCTTTCTACCCATTTGATTTTTGTATTACCAACAGATAATTTCAACCATAATGTTATCCAAAAGCCACAAAATTGAATTTTAAGCCGTCGATGGGAAACCTAGGTTTTAAACCCAAAAAATTATGTTGCAAAAACTTAATCGAACAAATGAGCGTCAACTAGATAAGTATAAAACACTAAAAAGAAAAACCTCAAACACACAAATACCTTAGGTTTACTAATCGTTTTAACTCACCCGTCGATTTTGTGCCCTAAAATGCAGCGCGAATGACCGTCTTCGAACCTAGGTGGTGAATGTTGCCAGTTAATGATGATTTTTGGGCTACCTTCCACCAACGACGGCGGAGCGAGGATGGAGGCGATGGCGGAGAATTGGTGAAGGCAATGACAGCTCGGATCGGAGGCTACTCTGTAATTTCGTCAATTAAGAATGTTACTTAAAATTTCTAAGTGTTTTGATTGTATATATTAACCTATAGGTAAGTCATATAAAGCGTTTTCACGCTTTTCAATTTTTTTTTATTTTTTGTAAATAATTTTTAAATTGGATTTATTTTGATTTTTAAAAATTATTGTAAATAAGCTTTGATAGTGTAATGGAAAGCAATGTACTTATTTTTTTGGTAAATAATTTTAGATTGAATTTTAATAATTTTTTAATTTATAATATTGATACTTTTTGTTACAGTGTGTCTTCGTAAAAAATATATATAAGACGATTTTTCGTCAAAATTGTATTTGTTACGAATATATTTTTATAAGACAAAAAAAGTTGACTTTTTTTTTTTTTTTTTCTGTGTCAATATAAATGGTAACAATATGACTTTGTGTGACACAATAATTTGTTACGGTACATTAACCCTTTACAAAAGCTCAAATTTTTAATTGTGAGTAACAGTATGTTTGGTAAAGAAAACAGGAGGGAATTGTATTTGTGCCAAAAGAAAAGAAAATGATTTTACCATTATATATATCATATACATAAAAATAAAATTACGCAAAAAATTGAATAATTTATTAACAAAACAATCTTTGAGACAATTTATTTATGAGATGTAAATTGCAAGATAAGTAACTATTACTAAATAAACAGAATAAATATAAATTTGTTTTATTAATTAAAATTGAGTTTTTATTGGATTAGTTCAACTATTAGATTGAAACTAATTTTATTTAATTTTTATAGAACTTTACAGTTCTTATGTTCCTTTACGGTTTTTATGTTCCACTACAGTTACTCATTTTTATTTTGATTCGTTCCATAAAAGATGATTCATAAATTTATTATTTTAAATATATTTAATAAATATAAACTAATTTAATTACATTTCTAATTTTGTATACATGGACCACTTAAAACTCCTTTATTTTTATCTTTCATCGATAAACAAATATTTTAATCTATATCTAAATAAATAAATATATCTTTTATTTTTTTTGTATTATATAAATTTTATTACCTGTGAAATAATATTCATATTGTATATATTTTATTGAAATATAATGTTAAAAATATTTAAATCATAACAATAATACTCATATAAAAAATTAATTAACTTATTATTAATAACTTACTCATTTACACTGCCTAAAATACGGTCTATCTGATCAGGATGAAGGGAGTATTATAATTATAATTATATAATTATATATATAGTTTAATTAACTAAATTTGACTATAAAATATATAATATAATAAATGTATATAATTAAATATATATAACACTCATATTATTTTACATTTTTTTTTTTTTTACACAGAGTTTTACTGGTAATTTATGTAAATGTATGCGTTTCAATATATTATACGTAAGCTTTCCGCATTGAATTTTGCTCTTAGTATTGTATTAAGAATGAATTGGGTGTTTTACATAAAATGGATTTAGGTGAAATTTAATCACATCCTAATTGACAATTTGTAAACTAAGTCTCTAGTCATATTGTGTCTCACACCCATATGCCAAGATTTGCGGTTATAATTCTCACTCTAATCTTTGGACATAGTATCCTTACTGTCCCAGTGAACCAAAATTGGTGGTATTAGTTTTTTTGCCACAATAGAATCTCATAAATTAAGTAACGAAGTCATTCTACTTCCTTACCAGTTGTGGTTAATGCGATAAATTAATATTCTATAGTTCAACTATAGATGTTTGTTTTTTGGAAGCCCAACAAATGGCACCCCTCTTTAAAACTAACACCTAACTTTTAATTGACGAAGAATCTTCAGCATGGTTTGTCCAACTATCATCTAAATATCATTTCAATGCCAAGGGAAATCCTTTATATGATAAACCATAGTCTGCATTCGATTTGCAGGTACTTAAATGTCTTTCTAAGAGCATGTCAACGGTGAGTACTAGGTTTGCTAGAGTACCTACTCAACCTTCCGACTGCGTATGCAATATTTGGTATGATGTTTGTTGTAGTGTACATCAAGCATTCAATGACACTTGCATACTCAAGATTCGAGATAGGTATTCCCTCGTTGGGAACACGCTTCACATTTGGATCAAATGGAGTACTAAACGAGAAACAATTCTCCATGCTAAACTTCTTGAAAATGTTCTTGATATAGTGTGATTGTGTAAGCACAATCTTTTTAGATTCTATGTTAATTTTAATTCAGTGAATTATATTTTCCTCTCTCATGTATTTCATCGAGAACTTGAATGATAGAAACCTTTTAGTTTTTTTTTTTTTTTTTTTTTTTCATTTGAGCTTGATTCGTTCCAAATATTAACAGATTATCAACATAAAGAAAAATTATCACTCTATTTGTGTTGTTATCAAACCTACTATACAGATTTTTCCTCTTGATACAATATAGATCCACGAGACGTGCACTTCATCAAACTTTTGATGTTATTGTTTTGGTCTTGTTTCAAATCATACAATGATTGAATAAGCTTACAAATCAAATACTTGTTTACTGAAGCAACGAAACCTTCTAATTGTTTTATGTAAATCTCTTATCCTAAATCTCTATTTAGGAATGCAGTTTTAATATTTATTTGATGGATAACTAAAGTGTGTATAGATACCAAAACAATTAAGAACATGATAATAGTCATACGAGCTACTGGAGCATAAATATCAAAGTATTTGATTCCTTGCCTTTGTCTAAAACTTTGGATAATCAATCGAACATTAAACTTATTGATTGTCCAATCTGATTACATATTCTTCTTGCAAATCCACCTATAATCTAAAGACTTACAACCCGAAGGAGTATTTATTAATTTTAGTAACAATAATAAAATTTAATAATTGTATTAATAGTATATATAATATATAGAAAATAAAATAAAAATTGTTTTATCATTATTAAAAAAAAAAATCAAATAATTAACAGCTCGCTACTAGTTTGTGTAAATTTGTAATAGATTTTTACTATAGACTTTTTTTATTAACATATTTTAAATTATTACTCTTTTTATGTGATTCTATGTTCTATTATTTTTTTTTTAATTTTATTTCATGTGCCAATGATTGTGACAGTTGTTCATCCAACTTATCTTTTAACAGGAAAAGTTGTAATAAAATTACGTATCTATGGTTAATTATCACTTTTGCATTTTAATTGTCACATTGACATAATATATTCAATATGTTACTTTTTTGTGATTTTTGTCCTCTGATTGCGCTTGAAGATCACAACGGATACACTAACGCGCGCAAAGTGGAATTGTGCTACGGATGACAAAAATCGCGAAAAAATTAACTTGTAGGATATATTTTGATAAGAGTGACGATTGAAAGACAAGTGTGATAATTGCTTTTAGACTCGGGATTATACAAGACTCGTACGATTAATTTGAAACGACCAACTAATGATATTGTTTTGTTCATTTGAGGTCATTCAGAGCCCAAAAACCCTAGATGCTAAAAAAAATGTATATCCATTTTCAAACTCATAATTATACAAAATTCGTACGGTTAATCCGAAATTACTAAACAAACCAAACAATGATATTTTTTTGTTCATCCGAAGTCGTTTAGAGCCCTAAATATTGTAAACGCTAAAAAAGCGTAAAACCATATTTAGACTTGGAACTGGGGAATATTCGAACTTTTCATCCGAAACAACCAAATGAATCAACCAACGATATATTTTGTCTATTCGAGGTTGTTTAGGGTCCTAAATATCCTAAACGCAAAAATATATAAATTTATTTTTAGAATCTTAATTGAACGAAACTTACATGATTTATCTAAAATATCCAAACGAAACATAAACCTATTTTTAGACTTGCATTTAGATGAAATTTGTATGATTTATCCGAAACAACCAAATGAACCAATCAATAATTTTTTTGTCAACCCGAGTACATTTTAGGCGTTAAAAACCGTGTACTCTAAATAAATATACATCAACTTTTACACACGAAATTGAATAAAATTCGCACGGTTCATCCAAAACAAGTATACGAACCAATCAACGAATTTTTTATTAGTCTAAAGTTGTTTAGAACCCAAAAAAACCAAAACGCTAAAAAAATGTAAACTAATTTTTAAACTCAAAATTGGATAATTATTATTACTTTAGTCTTTTGATTGTCACTCCGGCAAAACATATTTTACATGTTTTACTTTTTTGCAATTTTCATCCTCTAGTCGCGAGTCGGATACAATCTCCGTGACACATGTCCTGCGGGTGTCGGTGCGAATGAAATTGTGCTACGGAAAAAAAAAATTGCAAAAATGTAACACATGTGAGATATATTTTTTTAGAGTGATAATTAAAAGACAAGGGTGACAATCCGTCATAGTTGCGATATATTTATTGTATTTTTCTCTTTTTTAATGACACAATTTTTTTATAAATATTACACAGATATTATATATTTTTTTATTTACCTACAAAAATTAATAATTCACATAAAATATTATTTTTTATATTATCTTCACGATTTTTCGTATCTAATATAAAAAAAATATATTAATCAAAAAAGTGAACACACATTTCTTTTGGGATGTTTTAAGTAATTTTTTAATAAAAAAATTTATTTTTTATAAATATTTAAATAAATAAAAAAGGGTCTTGTCGACATATTAAATAATTAATGTGAAAGCATTAAACGCGGAATAAATATTTGTGAAAGCATTACAATAACTCCAAAGTTATTGTAATGTCTGTCGCCCTGTCGTTTAGAGCTACCATTTCGAAATCTAATCCGAATCGGACATTAAACCCTAAAAAAAATAATAATAAATAATAAATAAATAAATAAATAAAAATGAGTTTTAGATTTTTGGATCATATCTGGCCTGGCATGTCAATAAAATAAATCGTGCCCGAGCCAATGAAGATCGAGTTGTGTTTAACTGGACTAGATTTATTAAAAATAATATTTAAAATTTAATATATATATATATATTAACTAAAAAGATTGTGTGTTTTTATTTTTCTTTT